ATTATGAAAATGTTTAGAAATAAATAAGTGCTTTCTGGTACATGCTTGTGCCGCTTTATTCCTGAAAGGGCATTTATCATGTTATGACCAATTCGGGTTGTTGTATGTAAATGTAGGGAAATGAAGACCAATCAACACGTGAAGAATGAAGTTTTCGTCTCTGATCAGGCAACTACAATCCGAAAGGAGTCGCGTTAGTGCCAATGGATCTTTGCACAGTAATTACACATTTCTGGGAAATTATTTACCAATAACCTAATTGCATCAAATGGGTCAAGAAGCGATTGAGCATCAAGAAAATTTTCGTGATCGATAACTTTGCCTTCGATTAAACGCTCTTCTCATGAAGCACTGCACCTTTAAATATACATCGATTCGCCAATTCAATTGCATGTCAACATACAATATGATGTGATGCTTATCCGCAGTAATACAGCGCCACGTTTTTGTGGCAGCTGCTTTCAGTAAATAGTACAGTAAGATTGCAACAGACGGCACAATATAGACTCCAATATTCTCCCAAAACTCAAACAGAGACAAGCATGCCTTGCACATGAAAGTGCATTGAAGGTAGCTGAATCCATTTTGTTGAGTGAGTACTCATCCTTCTTGCTCTCCGGGACTATGCATTGCCTCACCCAACAAGGGAATGGAAAGTAACAACCCAAGATGATTACTCATTCAGCGAAATCAGCAATCAAGCAATATAGAAAACAGAGCTCCTTCTGTGCCTGCAAATACCGCAGCTTACTACAAATGGTCAATTTAAATCCATTAACTACAAATCAGGTTTTAAGGATTCTGCAGAATCAATTTATTACCTTCTCTGCTTCTTTTTGGGAATTCAATAATGCCTCAATTTCGGTCTCTATGGTGGCAATCTCGGGGTCAACTTCTGTCTTTTCTCCTTCAGCTGGAGTGGGAGAATCAGCTGCTAACAGCACACATCACTTTAGGAAGACATGGGTTTTATACGTGAAAATATAGTGCTTTACATTGAACACATGAAGCAAGGCAAATTCTGTATCAAGCACTTATCCATAGCGTAAGTGGCACTATCGTTTTCATTATAAATGCTCTGCTTTATTTACTTTCTAAGCGGGGTTTCTTTTGACTGCAATTTTGATCACCGTGCTCTATTGCATCTAGTTTAGTTTAATATGGAATATTTAAATATTGAATGAATTAAGGTACAGAGGCAAACTGTGATGCCCGTCATGAAATCCCGTGAAAATGGCAGGGATTGCAGCAGTTGAGAATGTGAATACAAAGGATTTGGAGTTGTGTAACATATTATGGCACGCTGCTACATAACTCCGTTTCATAATTTGAGACGTGCCCCACAGCATTCTTCCAGAAAGCATGTTTGTCGGCTTGTAAATAGTTATAATAGCTATAAATAGCTAAGAAAAGTTACTGAAATATGTCACCAATTGTATGTAGATGTATGAACGATTCTTCAACAGTGACTGTGGCCCGCACCTTTGTTCTCCACAGCTTCCGTCGGTGGTTGCTCTTCGTTCGGGGACGCGTCATCAGCTTCCTCCCTCGGAGGACTGTAAATTGCGGCAATCTCCGCCTTCAGATCCGCCACCACCGTGTTGGGCCCCGGCTTCGAAAGGGGGATGGACTCAATGGTCTCCACTGCCCTCCCCGTGGACTCAGCCAACTTCCATATGAAATCACGGTCGTTCTGATAGCGCAAATGAATAAAACTGTGAAACTGGAATGGATGTGGAAAATGCGTACAATATGTGGAACCACCTGCGATAGGCAGGTCATGCAAAATTTGCCCAACGTGGCAAAGCGGCAAATGAAGATCTGGAAAACAGTAAACACAATATATTATGAGCCATCCTTTGCCCATAACCACCGGGAGGAGAGCAATTCTCTAACACTTGATGCCACAATCACCAGCAGAAACCCTGATTTGCTCATTTTGAATCAGTGAACCACGTTGGTGTATATTGGCGTACAGCAGTAAGGCACACAAATTACTCTGTTAATACGAACAAGCAATGCATCGGCCTGAGGTGTGCAATGTCGCGAATCGCTGGAGCTGAATATGCCGACGGTCCACAAACATTTACAACGAAAAACGAAAGATACGATAGTCACTCCTAATAATATGCAAACTAGACTGAACATACTATAACGCATAATGCACAATGCGTGCGTGGTGACAACTTTGAATGACTACTCCGATTGGAACATAAATTTTATGTACTTCCTGGATCCCATCGAGCGCACCTCAGGTATCTGCCCGCCATTTCCGGGGGGCGCCAGCGTGTCCGCACACAGCATTGCCTTGTACTCTCCATTGCTCGATCTCACGGCGCAGGCGAAGTAGGAACCAATCATGGGAAATTTCCGCAAGTAGACCAGGTGGCGCTCCGCGATGCAGGACGCAATGTACAGGGACGGTCGCTGGTCGTCCAGCATGCGCAACGTCGGGGGCAATGGCGCGCTTGAGGCGTCTTCCCCCGCATCAGCTTCTTCATCCTCGCCTCTGGAAGGCCTGAGAGGTGCAAATGCAGTGGATGAATGCTCCGAACTGCAGCGAATCCGCCCGTTCTGCACCTTTGCATCATTTCCAGAACGCCCGGAGCAGTAAGGATCAACGATGCTTCTGGGCGATGTGCATTTGCAGCGTCGGCGGCTGTGGATGGGCTGAAACGAGCACAGTACTTGGAGGCCTTGGCAGGAACCTCGCCATCCACATCTCGAAATTAGGTAGGTTTAGATGCTTGCATCAATCGACCAATTGATCAATATTGCAATAGTGACAGCTCCTTGCGTCAACGCCGCTCTACAGACACGAGCTCTGAAGGGTAGCGTTGATCGAATGGCCCATATATTTTGCGTAGAATCCTAGCAAACTCCCAGGTGGTTCTCAGGGCTGACAAATGGGATCGCTGATGCAGCGTTGCTGAAACACTGCTTTTTTTGGAATGCTGCATCAAGATTATTTGCTGCAGGGTCGATAAACACCGACGCCACAGCGCCATCAATTCAAGTGCAATTCACCAATGCTGATAGCCAATGGTTATTAACCATTGTCCAATGAACCACTTGCATCAACTCCTATCAACGCGGCATCAACGCCTGCTGAATTTTCAGTTTCAGGCTTGTTATTTACGATGCAAATGCTAGTCCTTTTATGTACACAAGTGTATACGGTTGAAAATGGCGTTTTTACGTTTTCACGCGTACATATGCGTGAATTGCGTGAAATTGAGCCATGTGCACATAGAAACAGTGCACGCAGACTCAGGGAGTCCGGGGAATGGCAGCTGGACGCCCTAGAGTGGGCCCATTCCAGCGCATCAAACAAAAGGTCGCTTTCAGCCCGGGCAGAAAACGAAAGTTTGTTCCACGACGTCTTTGCCCTTGCTGAAGCCGAGGTGGGGGAGTTCAAGTGGCGGGAGGATGGATCTTTGTTTAGGACATCATTATGTATCCTGGATGTGTCGAAGAGCCGTAAAATTGTTGCTTTATTTGTTTGCGCTTTTGGCGCGGAAAAGGTAAACGCAAAAATAATGTCTCGTAAGTAAATGACAAGCATGTTGCCATCTAACATCTATGTAAGTGCCCAGAAGAATGGATCCAGAACAGTAACTACCATGTTGGTCAAATGGCGTTTTAATTCTTGGCATTTGGTGTAGTGGCATTGCATACGCGTTGTTGAAAAGGACACTTTGTCCGTCAGAATTTCCATTCTGCTGTACTGGCAATCACAAATGCATGGCTAAAATTGGTTTGAATCGCATACCGATTCATGAATCAATATGTGTCAAATCGATGCCACAAAAAGATTCGGTTGTTTAGAAAGCAATTCTACGGTACTTGTACTCCATGTATGTACGTCTCGGATGGCTCAGTAGGGAGTGTGCCTGAATGGATCTCCTGCATTTAAGCTGCCAAACTGTTAATGTGCTGAGAATTGTGATGAACCTGAAAAATTGAGTAAGTCATGTTATATTTTTGCTGTTTTGTAATCATTTTTCTGTTATTTTGAAGATTGTGCCGACTCTACTGCCGTTCTTCTGGAGCTCGCTCTGAGGCATAAACAACCGCATTCTATGAAACCTTTTCAGATGCAAGTTTTCCGTGCACACCGGAATGAACAAAACTGAACGATAACGTACAAAATGCAGCAAAAACGTGGGGATGAACACCAACCTGCGCAGCTCGAAATCACCCTTGTTGAAGAAGTCTTGCTCGGGGCTTCCCACAACATACTCCAGGAACACTTTTGAATAGTCGAATTTCAAAACTTCGTTTCCCTTGACATCCGTAGGAGCTCCTCCCTTCTCTCCGCTCTCCTCTTGTGGAACCTCATCTCCATCCGGTGAGGGTGCTTCAAACACAAATCACACAAAATTATGTTGCCTTATGCCAAACTGTTATTGAACTTTCCGCAATGAACAAGAAAATTTTAGAAACGGCACCCTCGAGGTGTTGATGGTATTCTGATCTTACAAAATCAGTACTTCGCGATATGAATGAATGTGCCATATCCTGGGCAACCCTATTGAAATTGCCCTACATTTCTAGTATATTCGGTGCATTGTTAGTATAACATGGATTTTGCTTTCAAAATTGAATATCAGCAATGTAAAAACATCCAACACATGGATCTGCAATACCTGTTATGTGATCCAGAATAAGACATAATGGTTTACAGTTTGCAGCATGCATTCTGGGTCGCATATGCGACCCAAACTCGCAGTTAATGCAGAAACTAGGGACATTAAAAATTTGAAATTACCGTTAACTATATAACGATGGGAATCCTGGAATGCAGAGTATATGCTAATGAGATCAACACTCGAATTGTCAAACAGGCGGGGTAGCTTATTATCAGGGGAGCAACCAGAATTTCTTTCTTTTGTCAAATTATCAATTACATCCGATTTACATTCGAATGCACAAATTATATCCGTTTTGCAACCAATTGCTCAACATTGAGTTCAAAATCTGAAATTTGCGTCTTTCAAATGCGTGCATATACAAGTCGACACTTAATCCCAACAAAATCACAATTGGCGCCAACTGGATCTGCCAAAATACGTTCAAGCATCCCCAAAGCTGAAAACCAATAAAATTGTAGAGGAATCCAAGAACGAGAACGTGCAGTGCAAAATGCACATTGCCGAGTAGTGCTGCAGCGCGCCCCAAAAGCAATGGAAACTTGTCAGACCGCTTCGCAGTCTTCCACATCACGCCATTGTCACTTGGAAAAAAAAGCCATGTAACGCGTGTTCAAATGCGAACAAAATTTACGGGTTTGGGTCATTTTCCTGTTTTTAGCGTGCACAGCACTGATGATACATACGTGTTCGCAAAAAGTGATATTTGGTCCTTTTTTCCTAATTTAATAGGGATATGTAGAGATTTGTGGAAGCTGACGAAAAGCATCAACGAGCGTTTGACTTTTAAATTGAACTTGGTGATCGCCATGCACAGGAACAGGCCAAAATCAATACGGATAAATGAGAGCAATTAACACCTGTACAAAACGGTGCTTTGCGATGCCTTGGCATTAATTGATGCAATGATACCTGCTTTATGCCATCGCCATCGCAGTGGCGGCGACATTTCGGGTAAAATTGCATCGCAGTTAGCACCTGAAACATGGGTCCTTCTGATGGTGCAATTTGGCAAAAGTTGGCAACGCTGCTCTCACTTGCCGGTGGAGGAACGAGCCTGTCGGCTTCGTCGTCGGACTCCACGTCGTCCTCTTCCAGCTCCGGCTCCGGCTCCTCTTTGTCGACCACGAGGGCCACGTAGCACGACTTGGCAGCAGTGCATGCGGCCACGATGCCTGCGCACCGTCTGAACAGGTCCAGCGGGTCCACGACCTCGCCGGAGGCCACGGCCGCGGACAGGTTCTCAATCTGAGCTCGATTGGAGGCCTCGCGCTCCCGGGCGCATTTCCGGAGTTTCGCGGCCTCCTCCTGTGTGTGAATTTTCGTTGATGTTGAAAACATTGCCGTTGAAATTATCTTTCCTATCTGCGAAAATCATGAGCTTTTTGCAATTGAAATTCACGCGTAGGGAATTTTGATCTTCATTTCAATGCTCCCTTCATCGCGGGTTCTTCGCAGTACGAGGGATGGACATAATTCTGAGGGACACATTTCTGCGGGACACATGTTGAGGGGGAATTGTTTCACTGTACGATGGGTCTTTCTGACTGGTGGGTTATTTGTGTGTCTGTTCTGCGGATTGCGGGGATGCACATATTTCACTGATGAAAAATGTCTAGGGAGATTTCCATGACAGCATCACAAAGTCAAAGCGAATAAGCATGCTGCAGTTTGTCCAACTTCTACTCCGCTCCGTGCTTCTCGGGCAGGTTCTCATACGTCATTTCTGAGCCGCGGTTTGCAGATGGGCTTTGATTTGCCTCATGAAATTTCCCACAGTCGAGATATCCTTCTTCGGTAGCACTAAGCACTGCCTCAAAAATAGGCACGAAAATCAGAGAATGCAAGGAAAAGAGGGCGCAATAGGCAGTTAAACATTACAGCATCTTGAAGCTCTTCTTTGACAGCGTGCCTTCTCTCCTTCAAGACCTGGCCTTCAATTTGGGCGCTTTGCACGTGCCTGCGGCAAAGGGAATAAATTTAAGCACACAAGCTTGCAAGCAACCTCCAGCCAAGATTGTAGTTTGCGGCTCCGACACAATGCCATCCTGCCGCTCTAGATATTTAGGACCACAAGAATGGCATGAAGACCTCGTAAGTTATTACTATGGGAGGTGCAACATCAGTGTGTATACATGTTGCGCAAAAGATGCCCGCTACACCATTGCCTTCGAATTCTCACAACACAATCATGACGGTGTGAATATGTTGAATCGATTTTTTTGAATTCATGCTTCTCAACGGCTTAACTCTCTTCGAAACATCTAATCAATCAACAATTGCTTTGCCGGCTTCCCGCTCCATATGTCGCTCGAGCCGAGCTGTGTCAATGGCTTTTGACCGAATCACAAATTGCTGCATCAATGGCATGCAGAACACTAGATAAAAAAAGGACCAAACGGCACTTTTGAGAGCACCCACAAAACACATTTCAGCAAATTTCTGCAAACTAAGAACACAAAGATAACGCAAACCCGTAAACTTTGTACACGTTTGAACACTTGTTATTTGGCACTGTTTTTCCTAGCGGTATCTGCTGGTTCGTGTTTTATCAGGAGAAGCCGACAAACTGCTTTAAATTGCTACCGATATTGACTTCGATCTGGTTAAATTGGTCGTTCCACAGAGTTCCTGTCTGTGTCGAAACCGTGCTTAACAGATACAGTCGTGCATCTGATTTATTTGGGTTGTTTATGCGTTTAATTGACCACGCATTCGCAGCATTCGTGTGACCCGTGTTGCAAAAGAGGCCGCATCGCGCTTACTCAACCAATCTGGCTCAATCCACATCCCGACATCTGCATTAGTTTATTCGACCAGCAGAATCCAAACACGCTTGCTTTATTTCTGTTACGTTTTCAGCCACCGTTGGAGGCCCTCCCTTCATCACGTCACGTCCGCCTTGTTGCCAACTATTGCATTGTTGAAAACTGGCTCCAACAACACAGTTACGACAGCGTTTCAGACTTGAAACTCACAATCGGGCCTCACTCAGCACTTTCCGAACAAGGCCAAAAATTTTGAAATGCGAAAAGCATAATGAAAAAACTGTGGAAATTTTGGCCGGACTTGGCGCCCTCCACAGAGCGCCTCCCCACACGCGCCACACCAATTGCCATAACCCCTTCCGCGTCGCGCCGCACGCCACCTGTTTATCATTAAATAATACGACACATATATTGATCGCGCCGCGCCACCTGTTTATATTTATATTGACGCCATTAAGTATTGTGACACACATATTGACCGCCAGCCCCAACGCCTCAGCGGGGGCGCCCGCTTCTGGCCCCGCCGCTCCGATGCATATCGTTACGCGCTTTTCGCGCATCAATATCGCGCCGCGACCCGCCGCCCGCACCGCAGCAGCCACAGGCCCAGGTACTCCACGGGGTCCCTCGGCCGGACGGACGCGACCACTGCGCAACCCCGGCTCAGTGTCTCGCCCACGCTGTCCCTCAGATACTCCGAGTCCATGGCGCCTGCCCAAGAACATATGAAGAGACACCAAGAACCCCACGTCCGCTTCCGTCACTTCCGTCCTTTGACGCCACCGACCGCCGGAAGCAGAAAAAACGCTGCTTTTGTTTTTCCCAGGAATTTTTTTAGAACGAAGTGATTTCAAAAAACCGTTTTCCATAATGAAGATAACACATAGGCATCCCGCAGCCCCCTCCCTTTCTTCCGCCGCCTCTGACTGCCCCAAACATCAGAAGCACAAAGAGGGCCACTCTCCTTACGGCCAGCAACGTTTTCCGGGAAAGAAAATGTCCTGACGAAAATAGCGTTTTCATATTGTTTTTGCTCCCGTCAAAAAATCGGGTTTGGCTCAAAGAACTCCCGTTCCCTTGGGGCCAGCAACGTTTGTAACCAAAACGTTCATTGTCCGAGAGCAGACCGTTTTTACGGTGTTTTCTTATTCCCGTTTGAACCCGGGATTCGAATAAAAACTGGGCGGCGGGGGTGGGCCTATTTGTCGGACCGGGCGGCAACCATCCGCGGGCCCTCTCGCACGGGGGGGGGAGCCGGGCGCGGGTGCCGCGCGGCGGGCTGGGGACCGCCGGCCGGCCCTTGGCCTGAGCGCCTGGCAGGATGACCACTCGCAGCAGCCTGCAGCGCGGCACCACCCAGCAGCACTTCGAGGGGCCGGTGCGCCGGTGGAAGCGGCGTTGGGTGTGCGCAGGGGACCCCTCGGGCGCCCAGGCCAAGAAGCGCATCATGCTCCTCAAATGGATGCCCACCGGTGAGCGCCGGGATCGGATTCGGCCGCGCGGCCTGATCGGCGGCCCTCGATTCGCGGCGGGGGGGTCCGATTTGACGGTGTTTGATGGTTGGCTCCGTGGCGTGCGGCAGAGGAGAGGGCGGAGGCGCGGCCGGAGGGGCGCCCTCGACTGGTGCCGGTGGGTTCCCGATCGACCTTTGATTTTTGATTGTTTGCGTTTTGTTTTCTTGCGGAAAGGGGCGCGAAAGGGCGGGTGCCCGCGGGGAGATGCGGCCGGCGCGCCGGACGTCGATTGTCCCTGGCGTCATGCGCGCGATCGGGGGCCGAACGACGCCCTGGGATCGGCTCTTGGCTCTTGGGCCGGCTTTTGTGTATCAAGACGTTGCCACCATGCACTAATTCCGTTCAGGCCCGGGAGCAGCGAGGCTGCTACATCGGGCGCGTGGCGGGCTGTGGAACAGCCCAAGCACGGATTGTCCAGAAGCCCAAAATGCCAGGGCCAGCGGCTTTTGTGTATGAAAATTGGGGTATGACGTCTGTGGGCATTCGCCCACGCGGGCGGATCACGGCTCCCTCGGTGCTGGCCGGGCTAGGTGGGGATCAATCGGGGCTTTGGCGTTCGGGCGTCCGGCGGTCTGGGGCTCCGGGGGGGCGGCCATCGGTGGGGATCAGCGACTGGGGAGCGCTGTGTGTTTACCAAGTTGTTACAGTCATGCATTAAGCACATTCAGGCCCGGAAGCAACGAGGCCGTATTGGGCACGTGGTGGGCTGCAGAGCAGCCCTGGCATTGTCTGTCCAGAAACACAACAAGCCAGGTCCAGCAACATTGTGGGCACGAGTCCCGTGTGTGTATGGATGGGTGGGGGGAGAGCTGTGAAGTGGGAGGAGCCCAGCCTTGCACGCGGAGCTGCAGAGATCGTCACATCGCCATGTCGTGAATGCAACATGCTGTGGCAAGCTCCTCCTGAGCGGGGACTGCGATTGGGAGTTTTGTGCCTTGCCTGTTGCGGAAGATAATGGGGCCTGGCATCGAAGTGCTGCCGGGTTTGGTTGAAATAGTGCATCTGCAATGGAAGCAGTACGCTGCTCCCCAAATCCAAACCGGCAAAGTAAGCCTGGAGCTGCAGCGAGAAGACTGCATTGTTGAAGTATTGCCGTGCAGGGCAACACCCTCCACAGTGTGTAAGCTCCTTCATGCTCATGCGGCTCTTTGGCCACTCCAGAAATTTTCTTCCTGCTGCACTTGGAGAGGTCGAGCCATCTTTGTACGGTTGTCAAGGGTCTGCAAAGACCTTGCCCAAGGGGGGTGATCTGCCTTGAATTGACATACCCTTTTCTGTTTCTTTTTGAGACTCATTTCAACAACATTTATGGTCACTGCTTGTGCCTGACATTGCTGCATTCTTGGATGCTATCGGCACTGATATGCTGATGTCAGCATGCTGCATGGCCAATGCACTGTCTGCCACAGGCCTGACACAGCTCTTGTCATGCTGCAGCTGGGAAAATTGAAGGAGTTGCAAGCCAAGGGCCACACACCCGCAGCATCCAATTCCTCACAGGAGCAGCAACAACAGGTACTTACTTGAGGCAAGCCGAGTCCTGTGGGTATTGCTGTTGTGGCTGTTCTGTTGATCAGATTGCTTGGAGGCCCCACACCAAGTGGCATCATGACTCGATCTCGTGCCAGCACATCTCTGATGTGTCTGTGAGCTTGCTGAAGAGTGCATCGCCTACTGTCAGATGCGCATTTTGCCCTGCTGCTGTTCGGCAGCGCCTCACACATCACACAAAGTTAGCGTGAGACTGCTTCTTGTGAAGATGTGCAGGGTCTCGCAGCTTAATCCTGTTTCAGTGGAATAGCAGCATTTATTTGAGGAAACCAAACTCGGCCACATGCACTATCATTGGATGGGGTCCTCAGAGTGAGAGGAAACGAATGAGATCTGTAGCAACGACTGAGGTCTACCTACAATTTGGTATTCCACGTGTAACGAGGAATTGTTGTCATTTATCGTCAGGCATCTAATGGCTGTAGAACCGTGCCAGGGCCATGCCTTACCACATTGTGGCAACTGGAAAGAAAGC